GACTGTTCCCGTGGCCTGCAGTGCTCTCTTCTGAGATAATGGAACAGCCTTTGCCTGCACTGTCTTCAGGTTTCAGCTCAAATGGCACTTTATCAAAAGGCCTGTCCACACCACTCTATCTAACATAGCATCTCCTTTGCACCATTCCTTTCTATTTCATTACTCTCCTTTATTCTTTTAAGCACAGAGAGGCGTGTTGATTGAGGGTCTGTGACCCCAACAGACCCTGAACTCCATGAGGGTTGGGATGTGGTCTGTAGAATGTTGATGAATAGATGAATGTCCTTAGAGGAACGTGTAGTCAGTAGACGCTGGGCACTGTGGAGGGACAGGAGGCAGGATTTGGGGACTTGACTCTCAGGATTTCTTCTGGTTTAGCCTTGTAGTCAAAGACTGGAAAAGCCTTCCCAGATACTGGTTTCTTATTTCTTCCCAGGAGTGCTGTGTACTTCCCACCGCCACCAGTATGCTGTGGCCCTTCTTGGAGACAATAACCAACATGTTTTTAGATGTACTGTGTGTACCTTACCTGTGTTATGTCTTTTACTACAATTCAGTAAATAGATACAACTATCATTTCCCATTTTACAGTTGAACAAACTGAGGCATAGAGAGGCTTGTCCAAGTCACAGAGTCNTTGTAACTGGGATGAGTGCTGTGTACTTCCCACCGCCACCAGTATGCTGTGGCCCTTCTTGGAGACAATAACCAACATGTTTTTAGATGTACTGTGTGTACCTTACCTGTGTTATGTCTTTTACTACAATTCAGTAAATAGATACAACTATCATTTCCCATTTTACAGTTGAACAAACTGAGGCATAGAGAGGCTTGTCCAAGTCACAGAGTCAGTAAGAGGCAGACATATGAATGTGAGCATAAATGTGTACAATCCAGCCTGAGAATCTGCATTTCCAACTAACCTTTGTGACTCGGCTCCCTATGTGGCTCTGGACCCATACTTTCTCCCAGTGACCTCGTTCAGTCCCATGGACTTTAATATTGTCTATATCCCGGCCACATTTACTCTGGCCCAGATGGCTCCCCTGAGCTCCAGACTCATTTCTCTTAACCATCCACAAGACCTCCTCATGGGTGTCTTGAAGTTAACACTTCCAAAACTGAATTTATGATCTGTCTCCATGACCCCACTCCCAAACCCGTTTGTCCCTCCGAGTCCCCTCTCAGCAGTGGGGTCAGGGGTGCTGATGTGTAGAAATGGGAGATGGATTACTTGGATTAGATAACAGCATGCTATTTTTTCTTTTTCTAACTATTGCCTTATCTAAATTTCCCTTACTAAATTTTGGCGAACCAAGGCAAGGACCTTGATTTACGTGCCTTGGTGTTCCTGACATCAAGTATGTAGAAGGTGTTCGGTGTGTTCTTTCTGAATGAAGGGGGAAACGGAATGTTTTCTGTGGATTGCATTTGTTTCCACTCCAGGTAGGTTTGGTGCTACTGCTTAATCGCTCCAGTTATTCTTCTAAGGATAGTTTCTAAACTTCTCTCGATGGTCATTTTTTTTCTCCCCAGGGTTCTAACCTAAGGGATTTTTATTGCAGTATGTTAATGAAACGGCTCCAGGTTTCAAACAAGTCATTCTCATTTCTCTTCACTTTGGCACTTTCGTACTTGGTTTAATGTGGAAGCGAATACTTAATAATGAAGATAAACCTATTTAGAGACAGTAACGTAATCACTCAGCAGTAGAGGAAAGAATGATATATAAGTCATTTAATTAGCCATCATCTGTTTCACATTTATTTTTTCTGGGCTGAAGTTCAGCTGCTCCTTGAAAAACTGAATACAAATAATAAGCCCCATACACACACACAAACACAGGCATGTGCGTGTGCACACAGACCGCACGTGTGTGCATACATGCACACGGGACCTACAAATAGACATACGTCGTTATTCAAGGGCATTCCATTAACATTTCTCTCAAGAGTATCAAAATAACTTTTAATAGTCTTGAATCGCATCTCAGTTCATTAGTAGCTTGATATTCCTTTTCGTTTTTCTTTGTTTCCTAAAGTGTGAAATTCTTTTCAGATTAGTTTGTATAAGCTGATAAAGGGGTAATTCAAGGGTTTTTCATCTTCCTTGCAGGTATGAAGCCATGGATTAATCTGAACCTCAGAGTTTATTAGATAAAATTGACAAGGGGTGGGGGGATGCGGGGTGGAGGGACTCA